CAAAATGACATGACATGATGACAAAGCATAGCAACCTTGCTTCCTTGATGTTAGCAGCAACTTATAGTCTCTTTCCCACATAAGTTTAATGGCGTGAAAATATATAGCCTAAAGCGTGACGTAAGTGTAGGAATTTTTATTAAAAAAAGTATTATTTAAAAATATGCTGTAATTGCTGACATCTTAGGCAACAAAGAAGTGTGTGTTTACGCTTTAATTAATTGCAGTACTGTATAATTTACTGCTCTGTCTTGCCTTCGTGTGAAATAGCATAACATAGGGCACACCCTTGTCTAAACTATCGCAAAAGTTTTTAATCGCGCTTTGAATTCTATTAACTAATATGGAGGTGGCGCACACTACTCGATTTTTAGTTGTGCAGATAAACATTTGAATTTGCTGTGAAATAATCGACAATCACACAACAGTGGGGTTATTTTTTTTTATAATAATAAGGTGGCAAACGAGCAAGCGGCCGCCTAAATCCACCGAAATGGAAAGCGACCGCTGCCCATAAACATCCGCCATTACAGATGCGTTGCCTACGCTTAATTGACGGAGGAGGAGAGGCACATAAAGAGGAGATTTCCCCTTCCTATGCTTCTCCTCTACCGTCAAATCCACTTCCAATCTTTCCTCTTAAGAAAAGGGAGGGAAGGAAAAGGGACTAAAATTAGGCCTCCGGCACCACACTCATCAGACGAAACGCAGAATTGTTTCCACTTCACGCCTGTTTTCTGTGTGGTTGTGATATACCGGGCGAGCCGGTCCATTCGTGCAAAGATGTTAAAGCGGGCTCTACCACTGTTAGCTATGGGTTGTGAGATAATCTAGTCGAAGGTGTGCACCCGCTTTTAGGAATTCTTAGGGTAGGTAATATTTTGGTAGGACCCCTAAGTGTTTATGGTTGAATAGTTTGAATAATGGACGCAGGGGAATTTGATAGCATTCCTTATTTGATTTACGATTGTGCGATGACGAGGGTGAGCTTTGAGTATGCTTAATTTGAATTAAGTACTACTTAAACGGTACGCTTTCTAATTAAACCTCCATATATGTACTTTAATAAATGCTTTTAGAAGTTTTTTTTTTAAATATCGAATGTAAAAATATTATACGAATGCTTTATTTATTTCAATGGATTTCTTAGTTTCTTGCTTGTTACTTTACTCACGGCCGTACTCTGAAACGAATCTCAAACTTGCTTCATCAGATGTCGAAATGTAAATGAATAAAGTTAAGGCGTGGCGTTATAATTTACATATTAAAAGTTTCAATATTTGGCCGTATTATGTTACTTTTTTCTTTTAGCTTTTGATGACAATTTCTCTTATCCGGTAGTAATTGTTATCCTTGCAGTTTTTTTTCTTTATTCAAAATCCCACGTAACATAACATAAGCAAATATATTATATTACATGGTTCAGGAATTTTACAATTATACGACTATTAAGTCGACCTTCATCAAATCAATTTAAATATGATATTTTACCCTCAAACAGCGCCTCTGTAATTCAAACTATCTATATTAATAAACAAATATTACAACTCTGGATAACCGCTGTCGGGAATATGTTAATGAGAAATTTAGTTCAGTATTCAAGCTTCATGTACAAACATTTCTCACATTTGTATTGCGTTACGTAAACGATCAGAGATTGAACCCGCATTGGGTCAACGTGGTTGACTATGGCCTATTCACCTCTAACTTAAGGTAAGCTTTGATCCCTTCAGTGGGGACTATGGTGATGAAGCAAGTCACCTAAATTCGTCAATAGCGAAGTGACCACTGCCCAAGGACAGCCGCAATTGTAGATACATTACCTATCTTTAACTTACAGACAAAGGGACGCACAGAGAGGGGTTATTTGTCCTTCATATGTCATTCCTTTAAACCCGTACTCCATTTTCCATTATTTCCTGAGCAGAAAAAAAGGGAAGGGCATAGGACTAAAATCTACATATAACTATACTATAACTATAACTATACTTGCTATTGCCCGCGACTCCTCCTATCGTCCGCGTGAAATTCAAAACGATTATAATAAAAAATATAGCGACAACATAGCTATTTATAAATGAAAGAATTTGAAATCGACCCAGTAGTTTTTGAGTTTTTTCAATACATACAAAAATACAGATCCTTCCTCTTTATAATATTCTATACTAGCTTTCGCCCGCGACTCCGTCCGCGTGGAATTAAAAAAAAGTGAGAAGCCTATGTGTTCTTCCAGACTATGCTCTACATCTACGCGAAATTTCATCAAGATCCGTTCAGCCGTTTAGGCTACAAACTCTAACATCCATCCATCATCCAACCATCCATCCATCTTCTTCTTAAAGTGCCTCTCCGACTAGCAAAGGTTGGCGGTCAGTTCTCCAAATTTGACCTTGTCTCTTGCGAGGCGAAACAGTTGGGCGGCACTCGCAATTCCTGTCCACTTTCGGATGTTGCGTAACCACGATTTCTTACGACGACCAACACTCCTTTTTCCGGAAACTTTTCCCATCAAGATGAGTTGGAGGAGATCATATCTGTCATGCCTGAGCACGTGGCCGAGATACGATACTTTTCTCATCTTGATGGTCTGCAAAAGTTCCCTTTTTACCCATCCTTCTATACGGATCCATCCATCTAAACTTTCGTATTTATAATATTAGTAAGAAGTAATATTATTTAAAATTATTTTAAAATTATGTAACAAAAACACATTTACAGGTCACATACGTTGTAAGAAATACATGAAATATATCACTTAAGTTGTAGTCTTTCAATATAAGTATGTTCTGGAGAAGTTATAACGATGCCACTTGATGTATTAGGTTCGAAAAGTAGTTGATAACAGAGCTCTAGTCGCGTATTACATTCTGAAATTGTAACAGTTTACGAGCTGAGATAACTTGTGTTCAAAGTTAGTATCTATACTAAAGAGGAATGTTTTTTTTATTTGTAATAAAAAACTTAGTAACGTCTGCACTGATTTTAAAAATTAATTTACTGTTAAAAAGCTTATTTATATTTAAGTCAAGTAGACTTAATTATGGAGCAATAAACAAGAAATAGAATAGACTTAATTATGGATAGATTTTTTTAGCGCAACCGCTAGTGTTAATATAATTCGGAAACCAACGTTGTTTGTTATTGATTTTTGATCTGTTTTTTATGTGATAAAAATATTAGAATATTGTTTTTAAGCCATTTTTTTCTGCTCACAAAATTTCACAATTTACGTCATAAATAATAACAGATATGCCACTTTAAGGACAACTTTGGTAACTTCTGCTCCCTCGAGTGAAGTTCAAGTTATCCAAATTTATAGAGGCACTAGAAAACTTATGCTTACAAACGTTTCTATTGTTTAAGCAATTTTCGCTATTATAAAACAATTTTATAATGTAAAATCTAGGAAATTAAAAAAAAAAAACTTATTATGTGTTCTTACTGATTGTTCTACTTTATGACAAACTAGCTGTCACCCGCGACTACGTCCGCGTGGAATTAAAAAGAAACAAAAGTGAGGCCTGTGGGTTCTTCCAGAGTATCTTCTACGTCGATGCAAAATTTCATCCAGATCCGTTCAGCTGTTTAAGCTACAAACTCTAACAAACATCCATATATCCATCTAAACTTTCGCATTTATAACATTAGCAAAATAAGTAGGTAAGACTGTAAGATATTTGTCTAATCTAAAAATCTCTTTGCAGTATAATGGTTTGAATTTAACGCACCAAAACTAAGCTATATGTTTCAAAGGGTAATTAAAGTGAGCAAAACTGTAGGTAGCTTGTCTGAAGATAACGCGTTGCTTCGCGCACCCCTTGCAAACTGCGGATTTAACGTAAGCCGTCTTAAACAGAGATATGCATTTCTAACAGTTCCCCTATGTTCTTATTTACCTTTGATGTTGCCTTTGTCTGCTAAATTTATTTAATACTTATTATTTGTAACCTAATAAGTGCATGATTTAATAATCTTTTACAAATAGCCTATATCGCACAATAGCTTTTTATTTATATCTAGCTTTGTTATTTATTTATTTATTTATTTATTTATTTAAAGCCACTCAGAACATGTGCTGATCTTCCGTGGCCATTGAAGATAGATGGCACTAACTAATACATTTTATTATAATGTACGAGCTGTTGCCCGCGACTTCGTCCGCGTGGTATTAGAAAATATACGAACAATGTAAATTACAAAAAACTACGTATCCCTCGGCAACCGGACATGTCTCGGGGATGAAGCTTATCTCATGTGTATTCCAGACTTTGTTTTTTAACTGTGCCAAATTTCATTAAAATATGTTGAACCGTTGCAGAATAATCATGTAAACATTGAAAAACTAAATTAATGAATCCCACGGGAACCGTTACTTATCCCGGGATAAAAAGTAGCCTATGTGTTCTTCCAGACTATGCTCTAAACCTGTGACAAATTTCATGGAGATCCGTTCAGCCGTTTAGGCTACAAACGCTAAGAAACATCCATCCATCTAAACTTTCGCATTTATAATATTGGTAAGAAGTAAGATTAGTAAGATTACATATAACAAACTCCTCCTCCATTACAAAATAAAATAACATTGTCACAATATAATTTTGACATATGCAATTGAGAATTTGACACATGTAAACCACAAAATAATATTTTAGTGCGCATTGGCAGTAATCACAAGTTAAATACAAACAGGGTACAGGGTATGATGAAGAAAAAGTTTATAGTAAAAGAATTTTTAAAATCCGTGTAGTAGTTTTTGAGTTCATTCTTTACATACAAAAATCCGATAGAGATAGAGTAATAGTAAAGGAGAAATGATACATTCGTTAAATGTCGTTTTTTTTTAATTATTTAAGAACATTGTAAGTACGATCATTTTATTACAACCAAACTTCTCACTAAATGCAAGAATCGTCACCAAAGGTTTATTTCTGTCCGGACAGCGAAGAGATCTCAAAATAGAAAAGTCATCTCTCGAACTCAGTATACGCATGTTCGTCGCGGACGTTACCGGTGAAAGTTACAAATTGTTTAATTCAAAAATAAAAATTACCCAATAAATTAACACTAGATCAATACGTGTGACATACACCATGGCTCGAATACAAATGGCGGCCATGTTTATTTTTTTTACCGCGTGTTACGCTTGTGACGTCGATATGGCAGTTTACAAAGTGACAGTACGAATGTTGTGGAGTGAAGAGACATTCCCAAAGGATTATCCGTTACAACGTCCAAAAGCACAATGGTCACCGGTGTTTGGTTAGTAATTTTTATGGCATATTTATAAACTTAACGCTTTTGAACGCGATCTCCCTGCTAGGTTTGCATAGCTATTGTTTTTTATATCATAAGGTGGCAAACGAGCAAGCGGCCACCTGAATTCGCCATGAGGCGAAGTGACCGATACCCATAGACATCCGCAATTGCAGATGCGTTGCCTACCCTTGATCAGCGGAGGAGAAGACGCACATAAAGAGGACACTTCCCCCTGTACCGTCAAATCCACGTTCCCTTCCCATCCTTTTCGTATACGAAAAAGGGTGGGAAGGAAAAAGGACTAAAGTAGGGCCTCCGGCACCGCACTCATCAGACGAAGCGCGGAATTGCTTCCACTTCACGCCTGTTTTCTCTGTGGTCGTGGTATTGCACCGGGCCGACCCATTCGTCTGAAGATGTTAAAGCGGGCTCTACCACTGTTTAATTCTACCAGATGTGACAATCGTAAATAGAAAAATTAAATCATTTTAGTAAAAACAGCATCAAAATTACCATAATTATTTTAACATGGAATATAATTGAATGACAAAAAACATATATAGTTACCTTTTCTTTGTTTTTCTGTAATATTTAAGTAGGTCTAAATAATAATAAAGTGTAAGCAATTAGTCGTAACTTCAACAACAAGAATCGTTTGATAACATCAATGCCTTTTAAGGGACGTGGAATAAATACGCGCTTATCTCGAGCAAGTGAAACCGTGAAATGTCACTTAAGTACAGATAAGACTTACTTTGTTTTCGCTGAAACGCCTTCTGAAAAGGTCAAGTGTATACATTTACTATCACAAATTACTTCTTATTATAAGGAAATAAAAGATATATTGAGAAATTACCTTCATATTTTTGCTAAAAATCTTACTAACCTTACTAATATTATAAATGCGAAAGTTTGGATAGATGGATGTTTGTTAGAGTTTGAAGCCTAAACTACTGAACGTATCTCTATGAAATTTTGCATAGATGTAGAATAATCTGGAAGAACACAAACACCACTAATTAAGTTTTTTAATTTAAAATCTCTCGGCGGAATTCGCGTGCAAAAGCTAGTACCACATAAATGAATGTTTTAAAATTTACTTTTAAAAATCAACGTAGATTCAGTTTATCAGGTGATATTAAAATTGTACAACTGCTTTATATGAATTTCTAATAGAAATCTCAAGTAAGATTCGAGGCTGATCATTTGCATTTCTCGATCCAGTGAACCTGGATCCAATGGTCTGTGAAACATTGTAGTAAAGTATAAAAAAGGTCGAGACCACGTTATCATATTTTTACATGATAGTTAGTGATGTTTTTTTCATTTTTTTTAAAACGCACGATAAAATATCTCGCTTCATAATTAATTGAATGAGATTTATTCAAAACGGTTAGTATAAAGGCATATTTATTAATATTGCAAAAGTTGTGGATCATGAAGTACGAAGACAACAAACGAAACAAATGAAAACAATCTATCATTGAAAAATATGTACCATATAATCGAGAATTTCAAATGACATGAGAATTGAATACAAACACTGTTCCCATCTCTATTTTGTCAAGTAAATAAACAGGGATGGCAATATTGACGTACGAGTAACTAACAAAACTCAATTTAATTTACATTTCAGGTCAGTCTCACAACAAATCCTATATATTATTCCGTGTTGGAGAGGTAGCGAGGTCTTCAGTTAGAAACTTTGCTCAGTATGGAAAACTGGATACTTTGATACTAGAAGGTGAAGAGGATCCAAGAGTATACGATCAGTTTTCAACTCCCGCACTTGGAAGAGGAACTGGGGAGACAGAAAATTTGGTATTTGTTGACACTGAGCATAACGAGGTAAATTACTATTGATAGATTTATTTCAATCTTACTAATATTATAAATGCGAAAGTTTAGATGGATGGATATTTCTTAAAGTTTGTAGCCAAAACGGCTGAACGGATTTCGTTAAAATTTGGTACAAATGTAGAGTATAGTCTGGAAGAACACAAACGCTTACTATTTTTTAATTCCAAGCGGACGTAGTCGCGGGTGAAATCTAAAGCTTTACATACTTTCATTTGCTAATTAAAAGACTATTCACAATGAAAAGGCAACAAAGGAAATCTAACAGAACAAGTAACGTAACGTTTAGTGCAAAATGGATTTAATTACATAGATACTAAGTAATATAATCCTAAATTCAATTATCTAAATTTTGTCCGCAGATATCTATGATCAGTAAAATCATACCATCACCGGATTGGTTCATCGGTGTCGATAGTCTGGATTTATGCGTCGATTCATCCTGGGTTGACCAAATTGTACTGGAAGTGGGTATCAAAATGTATTTCATTACACATCTAACATATTTCAAAAATGAAGCTGTAAATATTCATGTTCACAGCTGGAGCCTTTAGATGCAGGAGCAGCCAGCGGTCTCACTTTCACAGCTCCTCGTTGGGAGAATTCACCACCAGAAGCCGTATCGAAACATAAACCACGACAACCTAATCATCCAGCTTCTGGTTTTTATTATCCAAATAAAAAGGAATTACCACCCATAGCTAAAGTTGAATTTACAAAGGTACAAATTGTTAAGAGCGCATACCTTCGACTAAACTGTTTAATCTCGCTTTGATTCCTATGTGCTTATGGTACGCACACTACTCGATTTTTAGTTGTGCAACCAAGCAATTGAATTGGCTGCGAAACAATCGACATTCGCAAAACAGTTGTGCGATAATTTAGTAAAAGGTATTCGCTCGCTCTAATACTTCACTTGAATTCGTTTAAGCAAGAATTTCAAGAAAATACCGTAAATGACATACATGATTTTAAACTTGCCGAAATACTAAATTTGTTTAAATTTCCAGGTAAAAGAATATTCATCTAAAGAAGTTAATGATTTAGCAAGAAAGGAGTTATTGAATAATCTGCATTTGAAAGATAAATTAAAAGGTTTACCGAAAAGGAAATCATTGAAGAATTATCAGACAACTGAATTAAATCAAGAACTAACAACAAGGAATAATTTTAATCAATTAGTTGAATTAGAAGAGGAACCTTTTGGTACTCCAAGACCTAATTTGCCAGATAACAAAGTCGAGGTTATCACTAATGCTCCCTCCACGTAAGTAATTTAGAAAACCCGCTTTTAAAACAGGTCATATCATCATCAACTCACCCTTATCCCTACGTAGGGTCGGCACAGTAAGTGCTACTCTTCCAAACATTTCTATCAGCCGTCATATCTGAATCCACTCCCTTCTTAAGCATATCCTCTTTCACACAATCCATCCATACTTTCTTCGGTCTTCCTCTACCTTCGTAACCATCCACATCCTTCTGTTAAAACAATTCAAATAATAGGATTTAAAAAAAGCCAACGCATGACCAAGATAAAACAAAACTTTCTCTCTTTTCGATAAACAATTGGTGTACAGGATTTTTTTTAAGTGGGTAATGCGTTATTGCATACCACCACGCCCTAAGAGGGGAAAGGCGCGGAGGTTATGTTGGGCTCTCTCCCGATAAACGGGAGCCTACCAACTAAAACCCCACTGTCTCCTTCGTTTCACCGAACACCGGGGCGTAGGCACACTAAAGTATTCAAGCCATTTTAACCGAAATTTGACCACAAAGTTATCAGTTGCATCATTTCATTTTATAAAAACCAATATCAAGGAATTATTTTTGGACAAAAATTTTAATAATATCCATTTCGGTGTTTTGCATCAGGGAGTATAAAAAAACAAAAGCGAACCACTACACTGTCAATATTTAATCAAAACAACGTGCGTGTTTTTGTGAATATGCAAAACATTTTGATTTATTTACGGGACATGCGATATTGCAATTGGAAATATGCTTATCAAAGTCCCAAAAAGTAAATTTTTTTCTAGCTATAGCTATATAGTTAGTAGTATACTTCTATAGAACAAAAAAAAGTATAACATCCACTTAAAATAAAACAACTTGTATTTGTTTAAAACAGAACTATAAAAATGGACGAAGAGTTCGATAGTGACCTAAAGAATATGGACGATGTTGTACTCGCGGTTGCAAACGGCAATCGACTCGGACTTGGCAAGCGACTACCCAGGCACTTCAGATCACGACTACATCACGCTGTTAATAGAGTTCAACGTAAGTATAACTAACCAACATAAAAGAAAGCATATCAGCAGCTACAATCAGTTAATAATACACAAGGAATTATTTAGAGCGGGCGCATACCTTTGACGAGACAATCGCACAACTGCTAAGTCGCTCTTTAATTCCTATGAGCTTTTGTTGAGGTGCTCACACTACTTGATTTTTAGTTGTGCAACTAAACAGTTGCATTGGCTACGAAACATTCGACAATCGCTCTAAAACTTATTTACTTACGAACATGATTCTTGATCGATGTAAATGCAAAAAGATTTTTGTTAAGATTAAATATCTTTCATTCCTATTTTATTTTACATGGTTCAGCTGATGATTGCCTGGTATCAGAATGGGGTAGCTGGACTCCTTGCTCGGCTACATGCGGCTTTGGGGACCAGTTCCGAACACGACGAGTTATTCGAGAGAAGCGCGGAGACGGTCGTAACTGTCCCACGTTGACTGACAGAAAGCATTGCGGTAATATCAACTCTTGTGCACACATCGATTACTTTGAATGGTGATAGGAATTAAGTACTTGTATTAGATTTTATAATAAACTTTTGTGACCCATAAAACTTTGTTTAATTTTTAAATCCTATGTGTTTTTGTCTACTATTGAGATCTTAATCTTACTAATATTATAAATTATAAAGCTTAGATGAATGGACGCTTTATAGACTTTTTAGCCTAAACTGATGAACGAATTTCGATTAAATTTGGCATAGACGTAGATTTTAGAAGAACACGTAGGCTATTATTTTGTTAATTCCACGTAACGGAGTCGCGGGTGAAAGCTGTTGATTAAAAAAAATGATTATTTTTAAAAGGATCAGTCTATCATACCTTCATAAAGGAAAGAATATGAAAGAAAAATTAATTTGCCAGAGAAGGGTCACATAGAAATATCCTCTTTCTGTGCGTCCTTTACTCTGTCGAAGTAGGCAAAGCATTTATGGATTTCTATGGGCAGCGGTCACTCCTTATTACAGTGAATACAGATTGTAGCTATAAATTTACCTATGAAATTATTATTTACTCTAACGCATATTGCAAACATACATACCTAGCAATGTTAGTGAAGTTTTGAGATAACATTTTCCATTTGACACAGCCTCAGGCTAGAGGGGAGACATGGGCATGCGGGTGTGAGAGGAAGTGGGGAGAGTTGGGCGACGTGTCGACGATTACGAGGGTAATTCAATGTGGTGCGGTGCGGTGTCATAGCCGCGGGCCGCGGACGAGACCATAAATCCCATTAGCTCCCTGGTGACAGATTACCGGAAAATTACACGTCGAAGCAATTACTAATACTCAGATGTACAGTATGGTCTGTTATGATATATGATAGTGTTTGTTTAGTATTTATAACAGAAATCAAACTAGAAAAATATATACAGGATGATTCTTAACGTACGGATTTTATGGAGTTAAAGACCACAATACCTATAGTTTAGCGCAAAGTATGTTGCCCAATTTCGAGGCCTACCTTCACATAGCCGTTGATACGTCCGTTAAGAATCCTGTATATTAAAGTACTTGCTTAAATATACAACTTACTTACAATACGCTTGATTACTAAGAGCGCGGGCACACCTTTGACTAAACCATCGCACAATTGTTTAGTCTCGCTTTTACTTCTATGAGCTTATAAGGCGGTGTACACACTACTCGATTTTTAGTTATGCAACTAAACAGATGAATTGGCTGCGAAACAATCGACAATCGCACAACTGTAGTACGATATTTTAGTCAAAGGTGAGCACCTGCTCATAAGATATGTTTAATGTTATGAGTTTATAAGAGCTATAAAACATTTCCTAATAAGATGTCTTGGTTTTACTACAACTGTCATAACTAATGTGTTGTTTGAAACTATTTTTTTATAGTTTAGTAATATTTCATCATTTTTCTTTAGCCAAGACTATCCAAACAACTTACAGCGACATTTATAGAAATTGTATTTCCTGTATATGATTTAAAACATTTTATTTGTAGTCTACGAAACGCAGCGTATATGCTAAACGTTGTCGGCTCAGACTGCTTGTTAAATTTACACGGCGCGGAATATTGCAAGTTAATATGATTTCGACGTGTTATGCCGCGTTGCCGCCGGCGCGGGGTAACGTCGACGTATTCCAAATAGAGTTATTCCGGCATTTGCACGTTCCCCTTGAATTGAACTTAGGTAATATATTCCGATCGTAAATTGTTTTGCGTTAAAATATTTTTTTAATATATCTTCATTTTGATATAACATAGAATATTTGACTTGTATTAGTGTTCACTAAATTTGATGTGAAAATGTTTTGAAGTAGACATTAATTTTAAATTAAATTTAGCTACTTGACACAAGACCAATACCACACTTTATTATTCAAAAGCCACTAAAGGCCTTCCTTTATGTAGATTAAGTATGACATCGACACTAAGGGTTTGCTTAATACGGTTATCAACAATTAGTTCAAAACGTAAAAAAAATATATTTTCCATTAACAATATTTTACTTTTCTCTATTTTGCTTCTCTTATTAAACGATTTTAAAACTGTTGATAGTTTTAGTTAAATTCTCTCCCAATATCCCGGCCTTCATAAATTGTACGCTCCGTCCGGATAATGGGAAAGCCTTGCAAAACTAGTTCCTTCTAAAGTCATAAGAGAGAAACTGCAATATAGCCTCTAACTTAACTCAAACTTAAATTGTATGAATTTAGCTTAGATTCATACTTGGAAATTGTACGAAAGAATTATTTATTTCATTTATTATGAGATTTGAGAATTTCTTCAAACAGGTTGATTAGAAAATTTATAATTTTTGTGTTTAAAAATTCTATACTCTAATTATCTTAAGATTGAAAAATCAGTAATTTACTGGAAGAATATTTCTTAATTAAGCTTGGAACAAAACCCCAGTCTAGAAAATTATAAGAAAACCTGAGACCTAGTTCCACAAATGCCATTAAAAATTACGAAAACGAAGTAACTTTTGTATATTATTTGAATGGGGAAAAGTCATTCAAAATCTCTAATTAGCCATTCGAAGTCGACTTTATTAATTGGTACAGAATTTTCAATTCAACTCCGAGATATTTCTCGAGTTTTAACCTACTTAACTGCAAATGACAGAATAAATAAATTCGCCTCGAAATTATCAAGTTTTAATTAAATAACATTCTGGAGTAACTGATAATTTGATGTAACAAATGTTGTTGCATTTGAAAACCTTACTTATGACTTTGGTTATTTGTTCATGTATACTGTGACATTTTTGTAAGTATTTACTACTAGCTGTTGCCAGAGACTTCGTTCGCGTGGTATTAGAAAACATACGAACTATATAAAAAACCAAAAAGCTACGTATCCCACGGGAACCGGACATTTATCTCATGTGTACTCCAGACTTTGCTTTATATCTGTGGCAAATTTCAATAAGATATGTTGAACCGTTACAGAATGATCGACTAAACATTAAAAAACTAAATTAATGAATCCCACGGGAACCGTAACTATTCCCAGGATAAGAAGTAGCCTATGTGTTCTTCCAGACTATACTCTATATCTGTGACAAATTTCATGGAGATTCGTTCTGCCGTTTAGGCTACAAACGCTAACAAACATCCATCCATCTAAACTTTCGCATTTATAATATTAGTATGATTTATACCATGTTTGAGGCGTTCAGCGTCTGTAACAATTCGTAAGTTTATTTCAGGTGTAAGATAAAACGATTTCACGAAACACGATCTTTAAGACGTAGCTTTGTAATTATTTATAGATGAGTCCATTCACCTTCCTTTCATCTGGCCTAGTTTCGTTTTTTAAATTCCTGTCTAATTTTGTATCGAAAGTTACAGTATACAAAAAAATAGAAGCCCAAAATCAAAATGTACAAGATTTCCAAATTAATTACGATAAGTCTAATAAGAGTTTTATAATCCATATAGATACTAAATTTAGGAAAAAGAAAAAAAGTATTCCGGTACCGGGAATCGAACCCGAGCCTCCTGGGTGAGAGCCAGGTATCCTAGCCACTAGACCATACCGGATTGTATCAACACAGTTGAATTTTATCCTTAAATGCTGCATAAAGTCGATAAATTAAAAGCAATCCTTAGTATACTAATACTACATCTAGACAAACACATAGTCATCATTCAAAAACGATAAGCTTTTCTGCATTATAATCCTATTTCGTATACCTATAAGATATTTTTATAAAGAGTCAACGTTAACTTGAACCGACTGCTTCTAATCAAAAAATGAAATGAAATAAAAACATGAAGTCGGCTTAGCAAGTGAGAATTAAGTGGCCCTCTCCATTAAGTGGTCGTTAACACTCGGCTTATAAATACTTAAGTTAATTCGAACTTATTTGACTACTTTTTAACTAATAAAAAATCAACAGTGCTTCTTAAATAATATAAAGGAATTTTGACTTTTAATAAACATGGTTTTGTAAAGATTTTTTGAAAAAATCTACAGCAGGAAGGTACTCATTAGAAAAAAATAATAAAGCTACTTATTAATTCAAGCGCCAATAGCCCAATGGTTTGGGGTACGGACTACCGATCTTGCGGTCGAGGGTTCGAATCCCGCCATTCGAGTATTGTCGTGAAGCATATCGTAGCACAAGCCTAGAGCTTAGTTGGAACGGTTAAAGGAAATATTAGTAAATTAACAAAAATCTACTAATACTTTTTCATAAAAAATACAAGAGTTAGTATATGTATATAGCATATACTCGACGATCGACTAATCTAATGTTTTCATTGATATTCCCAGTTTTCCCAGCTTTCCCAGTTCTCTACCTACTCCTTTATTGAATCCACACACATCATTGGCTTTAGAACAACTCGAGCGACAAGCAAATAAATAAGTTAAACACCAGCCCCTTAAGGACTTTGCTCTGATCAAAGGCCCTTTGGAAGCCGTTTAATGAACTGAATATAAATACGTAAAGAGGCACGATTAAAATTACCAATAAACCTACTAAGACCTTATTAGAAAATCTCTTTCGAAAAAATCTTAATTCAAACATACATACCCACTTTCGCCCGTGACTCTATCCGCGTGGAATTGAAAAAGACAAAAATAAGTGACCTATGTGTTCTTCCAGACTATAATAATAATAATAATAAAATCATGTGAAATGTATTATATATAAAAATAAGAGAATAAAGATATGTTAAAATAATAATAATAATAAATTCGTTTATTTGAAAAATACATTTACAAAAGGTTTAAACAGTTGTTGGAGCATCCTTTTAAGTATAAAATACCTGTGACAGGATACTCCGTTCTTCCATAACATAAATTACACTTAATACTTTAAATAACACTTCAACCATACAATTAAACAATTTAGTAAAAATAAATTAACAAATCATGTGGGTAGAAGTGTTCAGTGGTTCAGTGAGTCATTATAGGTGTTCGGTGACTATGCACTACATGTGTGCCAAATTTCCGTTTGGAACGATTCCTGCCGCCGAGTTCCGTCATCAGATGTCACGACAGACCGCCAGGTACCATCCTCACCATGTTAATTGGCTGGCATTCCACAACCG